GGCGGCAGTCCATCAGCGCGGCCGCGCGTCTGCTCGCGGACGGTCCCCTCCCAACGACGTCCCACGGATGCAGCGCCCAGGAATGGGGCGCGTCGGAGCTAGGGCAGCGGCGATCGGTAGTCAGGGCAGTGGCGATCGGTAGTCGGCGCTCTCACTTTCGGCAGCGCGCGCGGCCGCTCGCTGCAGGTGGGCTTCGCGCTGTCCGCCGCGCCGCGGCGCGACCCTTGGTGCTCGCGGGCCGAGCAGGCGCTCCTGGCGTTGTGGAGCGTCTCGCGCGGGCCCACCCCGACGCCGCCCGCGACATGCCGCGGGCGTCGCGGCGCGCCGCGCAGGATCGTCGCAATTGCGGGGCAGGCGCGCTGGCGGGGCGCAGCCCCGCGGCGGCGGCGGCGCTCGCCATCGAGCGACCGGGCCGGACATCGACCGCGCCGCGCCCGAAGCTCGAGGAGATCGGGGGCCGCGCGCTTCGCGGGCACATCCGCGACTCGCACCAGCAGCGGCTCTGGCGCGAGGCCGCCGCCCGCGACACGGAGCTCGGCCGCGCGGCCGGCGGCGCGGCGACACGCGGCCTCCGCCGGCGGCTGCCGGCCGCCGAGGCGACCCCCGAGCAGCGGGCGCGGCGGTCCAGCGCCCGCGACGCGGCGTTCGGCGGGCCCCGACCCGCGGCCCGCCGAGCCGCGCTCGATCCGCCGCTGCGCCGCTCGAGCGCCTGCCCCGCGGGGCGCGACGGTCGCGGCGCAGTGCGCCGCCTCGCTTGGCTTGGCGCGAACGAAACGGGCACGGAAAGACTGGGTGCGATGCCCAATAGCAGTTCCAGTACGTTTTGAACAGCCTGCCCAACAGCGGCCGCTGTTTTGGGACAATATTTGTCGTTGGGCACTGCGCCCATTTTCCCGCGCCCATTTCGGGCGCCCAAATTGGCGGCGCCCCGCCCTGGCGCTGGAGCGGCGCGATGCGATCGTTGGCGACGCGGCGCCTCAGGCCTACGCCGACGCAGTAGCGGAGTCCGACAGGGAGGGCCCCCGCTACTCGCGGGCGCTCATCCCCGACCAGGGGGGCGACTTCCTTCCGCCGCTGGAGACCGAGGAGGCGCGGTGGAGCAGCAGTTGCGGCCCTGGCGGGCGCCAGGATCCTGCGCGCCGACGGCTCGGCCATGCGCGGCAAGGCGGGGTCGCCCGAGGTGCGCGCCGGCTGGGGGCTGGCAGCGCTGCAGGTCAGCGGCGCCGCGCACGGCGCCTGGGGCTGCGCCTCCGCCCACCTGTCGCAGGAGGCCAGTGCGGGCAAAATCTTGGCCGCCGCCCGCGCTCCGCGCTGGGGCCTGCCAGGGGCCGGCGGCGCCCTCGAGATCGGGGCGGATTGCAAGCCCCTTGCCACGGGCATGGCGCTGCGCTTGGGAACGCTCGCGCATGGAGTTGCAGCGCGAGTTCGGGCAGGCCGCGAGCGACGTCGGTGACCCCCGGTACGCGCGCGTCGCCAAGGTCACGGGGCGCGCCACCCCCCCGCTCCGCGCTGGACGGCAGCGCCAGCCTCGACGACTACGAGAACAACTGGGCCGCCGACGTCTTCGCCAAGCGGGGCGCTGCGCTCCGCCCCGCCAGCCAGGTGGCGGCGTCGCGCGCTTCGCCGGCCGACGATGTCGCGGCGTCGACAGCGCGCTGGCTCAGCGAGGCGCTGCAGCTCGGGCACGCCGCTCTCGGCAGCCGACGGCGCGGGCGCCGCCGCGGCGGGGCCCGCCTGCCGCGCGCGCGGCTGCGGGCGGCGGGGGGTCGCGCTGGCGGCCCCGATGGCAGACGCTGGCCCCGCGGCGCCCGCGGCGCGGTTGTCGCGGAGGCGCGGGCGCAACGCGCTGGCTCTGCGACGCCTGCGCGGACTGCTCGAGCGGCGCGCCCGCCCCAGGTGGGCCCACGGCCGCGGCGCCGAGTGGCAGCAGGAAGCGCGGCGCTGCAGGTTAGGGCGACGCCGCGCGGCGCGGCCGCGCGCGAGCCGAATCGAGCACGGGCCGCCGCGGCGCCGAAGCCGCCGTAGCCGACGCCGCCGCGACGCTGGCCGCCGCCGCGCTCGCCGCCCAGGCCCGCGGCGAGGCCCGGGGCGCCGAAGACGGCGCGGAGGAGGGCAGCGGGGCGGCGGGAGCTGAGGGCCCGCCCGGCTCCGCAGGCGACGCAGCGGCAGCCGCGGCACCGCGGTCGCGGCGCGGAGCGCCGACGCACCGGTAGGGAAGTCCAAGGATTCCCCCCCCCCGGAAATGCTGGACTTGCCTGGGGGCGGCGCGGGGGCCGCCCTGGCGCCCCCAGTGGCGGCTCCAGCGGCGGCCCCGGCAGGCTTGGCGGCAGCTCCGCTGGCCCCTCTGGCGGATCGCCCCGCCGCCGCTCGCCTTCGATGGCGGAGCGTTCCGTTCGACCCGACCCACCGCTTGTGGGTGATCGGCACGGGTGCGCGGCGGTTCGGCGGTTCGTGCACCGCGCGGCCTAAACGTGGCAGCAGAGCCACGATCTAACCATCTGTTCAGGATACTATCTCCAACTACATCCCAAGACTATTCTGCGGCGCACGACGCGGCCATCTGGAACCGTTTCCGCAACAGTCTTGGAGCGGGTGTTCTTAGGGACGACTTGCTAGCGAAAATAATTGCCTTCCTGCCAGGCCGCCTGGGAGGGCTCGGCCTCAGATCTGCTCCCAGAAGTGCCCCAGGTGCTTATTGGGCGTCTTGGGCTACGTCCTTCCCCATCGTACGAGCTAAAGCGCCGCCAGTTGCTGCTGCGATGCTACGTGAACTTCAGCGTGCCGTTGGACCGGCAGCATTTGCACTGCGAGAGCTTCTATCCAGCAAACAACAACTCGAACAACAAGGCGCTTCGGATCTTCCCGAGTGGAAAGACATGGCGCAGGGGGTCAAATCGCCGGGCTTGTACAAACACCATGCGGACGGAGCTGATTTCGCTCACGGCTGGCACCGCCACGCTTATAATTATTCTTTTCAGAAACACACGCTGTTAGAGTAGATGCTACTACCCAAGCGGTTGCTACGCCGACGGGCCGCGGGTCGCGGGCCTCCGCGCCCGCTGCGCGGAGGGGGCCGACGCCCGCCAGGCGGCCGCGCGGCGCCGCCTGCGGCAGGGGAGGCGCCCAGCCCAAGAGCGGCGAGGCCGCCGTGCTGGGCGGCGGCAGGCCCCCGTGCCGCTGAGGACGGGCGAGGACGGCCGCCCGCGGAGCCGCTCGCCGCGGCGGTGAGCCGCCCGGGCCAAGGTGCAGGGCAGGCCGCGCGGGGCGGTGAGCCGCCGAGCGCGCGGGCCAGGGTGCACACAGCACGCCGCGCGCGCCTGTGTGCCGTCCTCCCCTCCTCCCCGCCCCCCGCCCTGTGTGCCGTCGCCCTGCCAGGCCCGGCTCGCGATTCTGCGCGGTGTCGGCCTGGGCCCCGGCGGCCCGCGCCCGCGCGGCCCTTCGGGCCTCGGCCTGCGGGCCTTCCGCGTGGGCGACCTGCGGGCGCCTTCCTCGTCGGTTGGAGTCGGCTCGGAGTTCTCGGCGGCGCGGGCCTGGGCCTCGAGAGGCTCTGGCACGCCGCCGCGGGCCCGTTGTCTTCTGGCCGTCGGGGTCTTCGCGGCGTATGGTGCCATTGGCCCTGCTGGCCTCGGACAGCAGGGTCGGTAGTGGTAGGCGCCCGTCTGGCTGGTGGCCTCGGGGGGGCCCCAGCGCCTGCGCATGGGAATCTAACACGTCGTGGACGAGCCCCGCTCCCCGACCCGTAGGCCCGCACTGGATCATCATCATCATCATCATCATCATCATCATCATCATCATCATCATCATCATCATCATCATCATCATCATCATCATCATCATCATCATCAGCATCAGCATCAGCATCATTATCATTATCATCAGCATCAGCATCAGCATCAGCATCATCATCAGCATCAGCAGCAGCAGCATCATCATCATCAGCATCAGCATCATCATCATCGTCATCATCATCATCAGCATCAGCATCAGCATCAGCATCAGCATCATCATCATCGTCATCGTCATCGTCATCGTCATCGTCATCATCATCTCATCATCATCATCATCATCATCATCATCATCATCAGCATCAGCATCAGCATCAGCATCAGCATCGTCATCGTCATCGTCATCGTCATCATTTGCATCATCAGCAGCAGCATCATCTGCATCATCAGCAGCATCATCATCGTCGCCATCATCAGCATCATCAGCAGCATCATCATCATCATCTCGCACTGAATATTCATGGCTGTGTGAGTTTGATTTCCTGTCCATGCGTTCGGCGGCGCTTTGCCACAATCCAGCATGCGGACTGCCGACCTGGCCGGGCCTTGAGCCCAGAGGCGCCGCCCAGTTGGGCGTGAGACGGCCGTGCGTCATTCGTTTCCTTCTGGCCGCAGCCATTTGGCCGCAGCCTCCCGGGTCTGCTGCTGCGTCGTGCTGTCCCCTCCTATCAGTTGGAAAGTTGGCACTCCAAATGTCGAGCCTTTGTTTTACGTAGCGCCCCGCAATTGCGATAAGAGTGAGGGGGCGGGCGCGGCGTGGGTCGCAGAGAGGGTCGCGGGTGGGTCGCCGTGTGGGCCGCGGGGGGGGGACGACGGCAACGCCGGACAGCAAACGAACAGAGTCTGGGCCACGGAGTTCCACTTCGCCCACGCATCCAGGGATGGTGCAAGACCGTTCGGCCCCCTCACTCTGTACGGGGCGTGAAAACGACCACAGTCACTGCTTTTCTTTTGTTGCCGCCTTCCAGCCCGCAGAAACAAAGCAGTGGTTGTGGTCATTTTCGTTGAGCTTGGCACCAGGGAGAGGACCACAACCACTGCTTCTTCTTCGGCCGGCTGGAAGGCGGCGCAAACAAGAAGCAGTGGCTGTGGTCATTTTCCCGTCCCGCATCCTGATATTGCACACAGCATCATAGCTTTCTTGGCCGCAGGTTCCTGGGTCTGCTGTTGCGTCGTGGGGGTCGAGAGTTCCATGTCTGTTTCGCGCAACAACGTAGCTTTATTGGCTGAGGCCTGCCCCCTCCCGCTCCCGCTCATGCACCTAGGTGCGCTCGGCAGAAACGGCCCATGGGCTGCTGCCGCGGCGCACGCGGGCCTTTCCGGGGCGCGGCCCTGTTGCACGCCTTCGCCGTCGGGGCCGCGGCGGGGGTCGGCGAGCACGAGCAGGGGCGCCGCGACAAGTTCGGACGTGGCCACGAAGAGAAGTTCGAGGCGGGGATCTGTCCATAACCGCCCAACTGGGCATCGACCTTCGGGGGCCTCTGGATATGGATATATTCGGGCTCCCTGGGGCTAGAATCTATCCACATGTCGCTGGGATCCCAGGACGTTGGTTCCACAGGCGGTAGATGTGGATATATCCCCGCCTCGCAAGAAAGGGTCTTGAGGCCTTTTTGGGCGGCTTTGGAGGGGGGGGGGATCTGCTTTACGGCCAGGCTCGCCCGTTGCGCTTTCGGGGCTTTGGTTTTTGGGCCTCCAGGCGGTTGCGGGTCATCATGGCTGGGTTCCCCTCGATAATCTGTGCGGAGCGCACCCCGGGACAGATCCGGGGGGATTTTTGACCCCGAACATGAAGAAAGGGGGGTTTTGAGGAAAGGGGCACGCGAGAGCGTTTTTGAAGCCCCGGAACCGAGGGTACGTTTCCACCCGGATTCTCTCCCTCATGCCAAGGATGCCCCGTTGAGAGCACGCACTTGCTGTCGCCAGCCCAGTCGTGCTGCTACGCGAAGATCGTGAAGGACCCCAGCTGTTGCCTCGACACTCACTTCAGTAAGGGCGTGACGCGCAGGAACTTCACGCGGCCGGGCACCTCTTGGAATTGCCGCAAGAAGGGCTGCTATGACAGCCTGAAAGGCCCCCGCGGCACGGACCAGATGACGATCCCACCAGGAGCGGACTGTACGACCCCCAGGATTCTCGGGAGGGAAAATGGTTCACAAACACTAGAGCATAGCTGGGGTCGTGAAATTATGAAGTGGAGGGGAAAAAGGTAATCCATGAAATATGTAAATCGATGGGCAATTCTGGAACTTGTGTCGCTGTGTTGGTATCCCCCTGAACCCCTTTAGATTTGGAGTTTGCCCGAGGTGATCCTGCCCCAGTGTGCCGTCAGCTTTTCGGAACACTTTGGAACCTCTGGGGGCCTGCTCGGCCTCCGCTGGGATGCTCTCGAGGCCATCTGGGCATCCCCGGAAGAGCTGGGGCCCGCTGGGAGGAGTGACTCACTCCTGGCAACACCCGAAGGATTCTTTACATCCACGGTGGCAGCTGGATGTACGGGTCGCCCTTCACGACGGGCTACCCCCAGCTGGCCTCAAAGCTGGCCGAGGCGGCTGGGGCGGTGGTCCTCATGCCCGACTACCCCCTCATACCGTACGGCAACTACACCTCGATCCTCGAGGCAGGCCTGAGCGCCCTGCGGTGGCTCTCCCAGCACGGGCCGCTGGACGAGTGCCGCCCGTCCGATCGGGCGCCGCTCCTGGTGGCCGGCGACTCCTCCGGCGGCGGCACCGCCATGTCGCTGGTGCTGCAGCTGCAGGCGAGGCCGGAGTTGCTGCCCGGAGCGAGCCTCGTCGGCGCCTTCATGTTCAGCCCATGGACGAACCTCATGTGCAACACGCCGGAGTACTACACGAACGCGTTCGCCGTCATCAAGGACTCGCACGTGAGGTTCGAGGACCTCGGCGAGTACCAGCAATTCGTGGGGGACATCATGTTCCAGTCCATCGCGTTGCAGTCGGCCAGCCTGTTCAACGGGAACGCTGTCGCGTATGTGGGCAAGAACACGTCCTTGTTGACCGATCCAATCGCCTCGCCCTACTTTGCCAACCCGGAGCAGTTCAGCGCCAAAAACATGCCGTCATTGTTCTTTACAGTAGGGGGTTCGGAGTCAATCGAGGGCGACACTGTCCGCGTAGCCAACACCGCCGGGAAGGGCGGCGCGGACGTCGAGGTAGAGGTCTACACCGGTATGTGGCACGTGTTCCCCATGTATTCTGAAGGTTGCGACAGTGGTCACGAGCTGTGGGCAGGTATGAACGCCATCAAATCGACCGGAGCGTTTGTAAGGAGGGTCGTCGCAGGTGGCAAGGATCGCGTCCTGCACGGATTTCCCCGCATCCACCACCTGTACGATCCCCACATCGACAAGTACGAGAAGGTCGGGCAGCTCCTGCCCAACCGCGTGCGCGTGTCGGAATACCAGAAGATCATGAAGCAGGTCGTGGCCAAGCCCTGGTGGGTCGTGCTGGGCTCGCTCGCGACCTCCGCCGGCGCGATCTTCCTGATGGGGCTCTTTCTCGGCAACTTGATGAGCTACGGCGGTATTCAGGCGTACCGCAGAGCCGCCCGCGTGGCCGAGTTCAGGACAGCGGCCCTGGGGTGCAGTCAGGGCGCTCCAGATGGGACCACTCTGGGTTCGAGGGGCAGCCTGGCTCTCGGGCCAGGAAACCAGACACTCGACCCCGCCCAGGAACGCGGGGATCTGCTATCGGGGGCCTATCGCTGATCTACCGGCGATGCATCACCGATTTCAGGTCGGATGTTTCCTCCCTGTGCCATTCCCTTGGCATCGCTCGGACGTGTGCATTTTTCCTTCGGCGAGGACCATCGAGGAGCATCCTTGATCATTTGGCGAAAAAACCACGCACGAAACCGAAAAAACACACACAGGAAATGGACGTCCGAGCGATGGCCAGGGGCTGTCTTGGATCGGGGGCCCCCAAACGGGGCGGTGACCACACCGTGTGGTGAGTCGGTGGGGACTCGGGGTCACCGCACGGTTTCTGGGACTCGGGTCGTTCTCCGAGGACGTCTCGGGCGTCTGGGGCATCGGAGGTCCCAAAAGCGCGCGTTGACGGACCGTGCGGTGAGGTCTTGGGGGATTTCGAGGTCACCGGACGGTCTGTCACCGCACCGGTTCGGGACTCCAAGTTGGAAGATCTCGATGTTGGAAGATGGAAGGATGGAAGATCTCGATCGAAGCCCAGGGGTCCTCAAGTACAGTCGAGGCGTTGGAGTAAGGACCGCTTTGGTTTCGGAAGGGGCTCGCTGTTCTGTGGTCATTTCTAACCCTTCTCGTGAAACCATGCTTCTTGGATACCAGAAGTGGGTGTCGTTCCTGACCTAGCGCTCCTTCTGTTAGCAGCCCGACTGCGCGGTTGCCCATGTTGAGCACCTATAGTCGCCTCGTGGGGTCCTCTTGGGGCGTTCTTGAGCGCTCGTGGGGCCGCGTTGGGCCTCTTCTTGGAGCCTTACTGGGCCGTCTTGGAGCCGTCTTGAGGCCTTGAAAGCTCATTGGAGGCGAGAAGGGAACCATGATTTGATATCCTTCGATTTTGAAAGGATTTGGGCATCTTGGGGGCCTCCTTTGGGAAGCTCCGTGGCCACTTGGAGCCGTCATGGAGCGGTCTTGGGGCCTCTTGGAGGCATTATGTTGGCCATATTGAGCCAGCTTGGGATATTTCGAGCAATTGTGGATGCCATATCGGGCTTTCTCAGGCCATCGTGGATTGGCCAAAACCCTCCTCAGAATGCCCCCAAGATGCCAATTTGGTTGTAAAAACAATGGTTGTTCAAAGATCTTGGCATTGAACGTTTTGCATTGAGCGAAAGGGGTGGCCCTAATTAGGTTCACCCTTCTTGAGCCACACAAGTCGCCTCATGGAGCCCTCTTCGGGCGCTCTTGGCCGTCTTGGAGCCCTTTTGGGCCCTTCTTGGGGCCCTCTCCGGCCATCCTGGAGCCACCTTGAGTCCCCAAGAGCCCATCGGAGGCGAGAAGGCGAGACAGACAGGCATTAATTTTACGCTGGCTTGGGAAGGATTTGGGCTTCTTGGGGGCATCCTCGGGAGGCTCTGTGACCACTCGGACCCGCCTTGGAGCGGTCTCGGGTCTGAGTGGAAGCCATCTTGAGCGATGTTGCGCTACGCTGAGCTTTGTTGCAAGCCATCTTAGGCTTTCTTTCGCCATCTTAAAGCCATCTTGTGCCACCTTGCGCGCTCTGATCGCTCGCGACGTCCCCTTACAAACCCAGCGGGAATTGTTTTGTTCCTCGAACAACTTAATGCTTGAAGTGATCCGGACTGGCCGTGTCACAGAATCCACCTTGTAGTGCCTCCTCGGAGTGCCATGGAAAACCATACGCATTATGAACATATATGCTTGAAGAGATCCAGAGGGGGTACGTCACGAAGGCCTCTTGGCAGGGTTCAATATGGAGCGGCATGTCAGAGAAGATTGGAACAACGGCCGAAGGCCAAAGCTGAAGATGTGGGCCGTAAGGCGGGGCCCGCTCCCTAACATCATCGGATGTGTCAAGCATTGGTGCACAGGCTATCCGAGATCTGCACGACTCAAGACCAGAAAACATCAGAGAATCGGTTGGGAGCCGCGAGTGGGGGAGGCGAGCGGCACGTGGCCGGCGACGTTGTCCCCAGACACCGGCCAGGCGACGAGAGCGGGCAGGAACGTTGAGCAATCCTTAAGTAGCATGTGTGTACGGCCTCCAACTGTTCCACACGTGCCAGTTCTGAGCCGTGGGAGGGATGCCCGATGCGATCGCATCCAAAACCTCGTTGCACACGCCGTCGGCGTCCGAGTCAAACTCCCGAAGTACGCGTCGGATGTGACCGGGCTGCAGACCTGGTTTGTCTCTGAGGCGTCGGATCAAGTCCCGAGCGCGCTCATAAAGCGGTCGGAGGCCTTGATCCCGGTATCTCCAAATTCCGTTGGCTTGTTTCACCACTAACACAGATTCGCTACGAAGCCATCGGCAGGTTCACTGGGGACTCTTTTTCAGTCTTGTGCCTGCTCAGATGTGCATCCGAATGTCTGGCTTGTACGCGGTTGCCCTTTCTCTTGCTTCGCGGCGGTGGCTGTTGTCGACAGCCCCACCGTGCCATGCCGTTGTGTGAATGCAAAGAATGTGCCTTGCAGTGGCGAGCCGCGCCTGTTCTTCATAGCGAAACAAATGTGCCTTGCCGAGCCGTGCCGTGCTTGGTCTGCAAGCGCACCCTGGTCTCCAGAGACGCACTAACTAGTGTGCCTTGCCGTTTCGTGCTCGGTCTGCAGGCCCCGACAACTCCGCCGTGTCGTGATTGGTCTGGTCTAAAGCGTGGCCTCCGCACGCGTAACTTGGAACTGCGAAGTTTCCCGACGTCCTTTGTTCTTTGCTGTTGCCAGGGCTGGGTCAGGGGACCTCCGGGGGAAGGACGGGCCCGCGTGGTTCGGCCGAGAGTGTGGATCAGTCTTGCTTGGCAAGGGAGGTACCTGGAGCCGGGACCTCCTTTCTCACTTCCCGCCCGCTTCGCCCCCCGAATCCCCCCTCCCCTGCTCTCCCTCCCCTCTCGTGCCCCCCGTGTCCTGCCCCCTTGCCCTCCCCCCCTCCCCGTCCCCCCCCCTCGCCTCCACTCTGTGCCCCCCCCCTTCCTCCCCTCCTTCTCGGTCCTCTTTCCTCCCTGTCCCATTCCGTTTCCGGTTCCCTGCGCCTTCGCTCCCCTCTAGGGTTCCGTTCCTTCTTTCCGTCCTCCCTTCCTGTTGCCTGGGCCCGGCGCTCGAGTCGTCGATCGAATCTCGAGTACCACGTCTTTGCACGGAGACGCCACGCGATGCACACTGGGGGCGCCGAGGGCCGGTGTGCACCACATGCGTCCAGACCACTCTCCCCAGTGAACACCACCAGTGTGGACCACCGGCTCGGCGCCCCCAGTGTGCACCACGGGCCGTCCCCAGCGTGCACCACCCCAGTGTGCACCACCCCGTCCCCCAGTGCACACCATCCCTCTGTGCGCACCAGCCGTGCCAGGGCAGCCTGCAGGCCACGGCGGAAGCCGCGCGATCGGCTCAACCCGCGGGGCGTGCTCAAGCCCCGTGGCTGGCAGGTGCGGCCGTGTTTGGCTTCCCTCCCTTCGGTTTTCTCCCTCCTCCCTTTCCCTCTCCCTCCCGCCCCCGTTCCCATCCTCTTTCTTTCGTCCCTCCCCGTCCTTTTCCCGTTCCCCTTTGTCCTGTCTCTCCGCCTTCCTTTCCTCCCCCCCCGTTCCTCCCCCATCCCCCCTCCTGCCACGGCCAACGATGACCCAAAACAACTCGCAATCTGGTCGGCCGCGGGCTGCCTTTGATTTCTGGTGGCGCTTCTTGCGGCGGGCGCTGGCAAAAGCCTGTCGCCTGGGCGACAACGACGCACGTCGCGCTGCGAGGGCAACCGCGTGGGACACCCCGCCGCGCGCCCAGCGACGACCCGCCTTTACTGCGGCGCCCGCGCTGTGGCTTCTGATTTTGCGATTTCACACGACGCGGCGCCTTTCAGCGAAGAAGAAATTAGCCAGACGAAGGACCCAACCATATGCAGGTGTGAGTACCGCAATTGTGATTCCCCTTTTCGGTGGTGATCCCTATGGGGCAACGAACCGTGCTAGTGGTGTGCCAAAATGAATGGCGTGGGACACAACGCGAACGAAAACGATTGATCTGAGCACGTAGGGAGACTGAGCGCGGGTGAATATGAGCGCGAGTGCGTCTGACTGTGAATGAATCTGCGTGCGAGCGAGTCTACGTGCACGAATGCGAGTATGCCAATGCATGGTGAAATTGTATATGAATGTTAATAGTTTGTGAATGACTGCCTCTGAGTACTCGTGACGCTGGGCGTGGCCGCCGCAAGGAGCTTCCCTGGGACTCCCCGACGGCATCGCCCGCGCGCCGCGACGCCACCGCGAGGATCGCGCCCGCTTCCTCCCCTTCTTTTACTCCCTCTTTGCCCGCGCACTCAAAGTCCAAAGCTGCGGGCGCAGCGCAGCGCGGACCCCCAGCGACGCGCGCAGTTCGCCCCGGAGGGGTCCCAGCGACGCGCGCGGGTCGTCCGTTGCGCGCAGCAAAGAGAGCTAGCTGGCTGGCTGATAGCGGGCGAGGCTCTTGCCGTTGGGCAGAGCGACGACGGGCGAGGGAGGCGCGGAAGCCCGACGGCTTCCGACGGAGGCGTACTGGGTGGTGGAGACGCGTGCGGACTGCGCCACGGGGACCTTCGGTGGAGCTCCCTATGGGGCCACGAAACGCGTGAAGGGTGTGCCGAAATGGGTGTGCGGGACGAATGCGGGCACGCCCATTCGGACCTTCGGTGGAGTTCCGTATGGGGCCACGAAACATGTGAAGGGTGTAACGAAATGGGTGTGCGGGACGCATGCGGGCACACCTACTGGAACCTTCGGTGGAGCTCCCTATGGGGCCACGAAACGTGTGAGGGGTGTGCCGAAATGTGTGTGCGGGACGCATGCGGGCACACCCACTGGGACCCTCGGTGGAGCTCCTATGGGGCCACGAAACGTGTGAGGGGTGTGCCGAAATGGGTGTGCGGGACGCATGCGGGCACACCCATTGGGACCTTCGGTGGAGCTCCCTATGGGGCCACGAAATATGTGAAGGGTGTGATGAAATGGGTGTGCGGGACGCATGCGGGCACACCCACTGGGACCTTCGGTGGAGCTCCCTATGGGGTCACGAAACGTGTGAGGGGTGTGCCGACATGGGTGCGCGGGACGCATGTGGGCACACCCACGGGACCTTCGGTGGAGCTCCGTATGGGGCCACGAAACGTGTGAGGGGTGTGCCGAAATGGGTGTGCGGGACGCATGCGGGCACACCCATTGGGACCTTCGGCGGAACTCCTAATGGGGCCACGAAACGTGTGAGGGGTGTGCCGAAATGGGTGTGCGGAGGAGGAGGGAGGAGGGAGGAGGAGGAGGAGGAGGAGGAGGAGGAGGAGAGGAGGAGGAGGAGGAGGGAGGGAGGGGAGGAGGAGGAAGGAGGAGGAGAGAGGGAGGAGGAGGAGGAGAGGAGGAGGAGGAGAGGAGGAGACGCGGGCCACCGTCTCTTCAAAACGAGGACCCAACAACACAGGTTGGTTGGGAAAAACGCCATCAACATAAACTTTCGGCGTTCCGCGCTGGATTTCTTGGATCCGCTCTGGGGCCCACCGGCGGCGCCTCCGGCGCCGCCAGTGGCGCGCTCGGCGCGCCAGGGAAGGGGGTCCACTGCGGATCCAAGAAATCCGCGCGGAGCGCCAAAAGTTTATGTTTATTGTTTTTTCTTCGATTTCATTCTCAGCCGCCCATCCCGCGAGAGTTTTTCCTGACCGTCCTGTGTTGAGTTGGGTTTTCGTCTTGAGTAGACGGTCCCCGCGTCTCCTCCCCTCGTCTCCTCAAAAGGGAGCTCCACCGAAGGCCCCAGTGGCATGTGTCGCGCGCCGCCCCCTCCACATTGGTACACCCGTCATACGTTTCGTGGCCCCACAGGGAACTCCACGGACAGCGAGGGCTGCGTTCGCATGCCGCCCCCCCTCCATTGGCACGCCCTCACACGCTTCGTGGCCCCATATGGCCCTCCTCCGAAGGCAACGTTGGCACGGCTCGCATGCGTTCCCCAGCCCAGTCCAACGCTTCGTGGCCCCATAGGGAGCTCCACCGAAGGCCCCAGTGGCGGTGTTCGCGTGCGTTTTCCCCACCCAGCACAGCGTTTTTGGGCCATTATAAGGGACCCCCATCAAAAGCTCCAGTGGCGGTGTCCGCATGCGCTTCCCCCGCCCAGTACAGAGCTTCGTGGTCCCACGGGGAGGTCCTTCGAAGGCCCCAGCGGCGGTGTCCGCATGCGTTTCCCCCACCCAGCAAAGCGCTCCGTCCACCGAACACCCCAGCGGTGGTTTCCGCAGCGTTGTGTGGCCTCGTAGGGAGCTCCACCGAAGGCCCCACTGGCGGTGTCCGCATGCGTTTCCCCCACCCAGCACAGCGCTTCGTAACCCCACAAGGAGTTCCACGGGAAACCTTTGTGGCTGTGTCTGCATGCGTTTCCCCCGCCCCGTGCAGCGTTTCGTGGCCCCACAGGGAGCTCCACCGAAGGCCCCACTGGCGGTGTCCGCGTGCGTTTCCCTCACCCAGCACAGCGCTTCGTAGCCCCACAGGGAGTTCCACCGAAGGCCTCAGCGGCGGTGTTCGCATGCGCTCCCCCCACCCGGCACAGTGCTTCGTGGCCCCATAGGGAGCTCCACCGAAGGCCCCAGCAGCAGTGTCCGCATGCGTCTCCTGCACTCTGTACAACGTTTCGTGGCCTTCTGTGGAGCGCCACCGAGGGTCCATTGGCTGCGCCCGCATGCGCCCATTTCGGCATACTCCTCACACGTTTCTTGGTCCACCACCGAAGGCCTCAACGGCTACGCCCGCATGCGTCCCCGCACTATTTCGGCACACCGTTTACATGTTTCGGTGCCCCGTAAAGATATCCACCGACGGCGATGCCCACAACGGCGGTATTCACAATTGCACATGGCTGGAGTGTCGACAGGATAATGTTGTTCCTGCTCGTTCTACTGGCGCTGGATTGTGCCATCAAGCGTGGCGCAGTTACCACTCCCGCGGGCTCATGCGGGAATCGCTTGCACGCCGCCCCCCAAGCGAGGCGAAAAACACCCTGAACGCGCCAGCGCCGGCAGCCGCGCGTAAACAACAGGCGCGACGAATGCCCGGGTCGTCCCGTAGGCAGGCCGAGAAATCTCAAGGCGCGATGCGCAGTGACACATTGGTCGCGCAAGGAAGCCACACCCGAAAATGTTCCGTGGCTTTTTTTGTCGAACACCAGAAATAGAACCCACCAGCCGATGTAGCCGTGACGAAACAGTCGACATTGAAGACAAGGTCGATCACCGGGTATCCCAAAACCTGTAGCATACATCCAAGAGGTCCCGAGTCTTCCGCACGGTTGTTGGTAGCAGTTTTTTGCCCGCAGGCACACTTGGCGTCAATGCGACGGGCCCCAGCCGTATAGCGAGCGCAGCCATATGAAAACAAATTGGAAGAGGAAGCGCGCTAGACCACCTACGCCTGAAAGGCTGATGGGTTTCTGAAGTTCCCCTCTTTGCTCTCCGGGGCAGTCTGGGGCCCACAGGAGCACTGGGGCACACGCCTCTTCGGCCTCCTCCCTCTTCCTCGTGCAGGCATGCGCGTTGACAGCAGGGGTTCCATGATCTGGTCTTGGTTTTGGTTTTGGTTTTGGTCTCCTCCTCCTCCTCTTCCTCTTTTTCTTCCCCTCTCACGGCCAAACCTTCGTTGGCCACCAGGCTGCGGCTGCTCGTGATGCCATCGCAGCCAGGCGCGCTCGTCTGCTCGGCCTCGCCGTCGGCCACGCCCCCGCCAGGCGCATCGCTGCCGGCGCAGCCCTTGCCGATGTTGCCAGCGTGCCCATATCTATACGACGAGGTCGCGATACGAGGGTCCGAGCATCCGAATCGACAGGATACATATTCACATGGCGGTCCATGTTGCCTCAACATGCGACGGACCATCAAGATGACACTGACATTACTTTTTGATCTGCGGCTCCAAGGACGATTCCAGAGAGCGGGTCGTATCGAGCATGGGGCAGCACGCAAGATAATTGCGAGCACTGACATTATGCGCAGATATGTGATATTCTTGCAGCTGGGTGGTCACCCGCACGGGCGCGAAGGCGGCAGCGTTTCGTGTTTCCGGTGCGAGCTCTCGAGGATGACCGCGATTTCTGGAGGAGGACGGCAACGGCGAGGTTCTCGCCTTGTGGCCTCCTGCAGAAGGCGCTCATCCACTACCACCCTGCCTGGGGAGGACCATCTTGGACCCAGGAAGGTGTATAGACTCTCGCCAAGGCCCAGGGTATCCGTGGCCAGACCTGGTGGTGGTGTGAAGGTGCCTTCTGCGGAGGTCCCTGGAGGTCACTGAAAAACACCGGAGGTCCTTGGAGGCACCTGGAGGCTTTCGGAGGCCCTCTGGAGGCCCCCCGAAGGCCTCTAAAGGCCCCACAGGCCCTCGAAGGCTGTCGAAGGCCCTCCGACGATCCTTCGGAGGCCTTCGAGGCGAGACCCTCAGGGCGCCTTCGCCTCCCTGCCGCAGGAGGCAGTTCGTGGAGGTGCCCGTCGGCTACGTGTCGTTCGATGGCCTCCAGGGTCGCAGGCCAGCGAGCACGTTCATGGAAGACTTCATCAAGGGCGTCCCCACTGCGGATGAGAGGTCATAAAGGGCTGAAAGAAGAAGGTCGCCCGCTAAGGAAGGAGGGAGGAGGAGGAGGAGGAGGAGGAGGAGGAGGAGGAGGAGGAGGAGGAGAGGAGGAGGAGGAGGAGGGGAGGGGGGAGGGAGGAGGAGAGGAGGAGGAGGAAGGAGCAGGGAGGAGGAGGGAGTGAGGAGGAGAGGAGGAGGAGGATGTAGGAGGAGTAGGAGGATGAGGGAGGATGAGGAGGTAGGAGGAGGAGGAGGGGGGAGGGGGGAGGGGGAGGGGGGTGAGGGGGATGGGGGGGGAGGGGGAGGGAGGGGGGAGGAGGGGGAGGGGGAGGGGGGAGGGGGAGGGGGCGGGGGCAGGGGGCGGGGGGCGGGGGCGGGGGCGGGGTCGGGGGCGGGGGCGGGTAGCGGGGGGCGGGGAGGGGGAGGGGGAGGGGGAGGGGGAAGGGGGAAGGAGGAGGCGGAAGAGTAGGAGGTAGAGGAGGAGGGGGAGGAGGAGGAGGAAGAAAGGAGGAGGAGGATGAGGAGGCGGAGGATGAGGGAGGAAGGCGGGGAGGGAGAATACAAGCTAGTGCGCTCGCGTCATATCTGACATCCAACCCTTCCCTCCCATCCCTTACCATGGCGCAGATCCCCTCTCTACTCGCACAGTCGAATGTCGAGCAGGGCAATGATCCCGAAAGGGTACGCGATGCATTGTAGAGCACGGCATGGCATGGCGTAGAAGAGCACCGCAAAGCGTAGTATGTCACAGCATGGCGTGGCGTGGCGTCGTGAAGAATTGCATCACAAAGCTTTGCAACGCAAAGCATGGCATCGCACAGCGGCCCCGAACATGACATTGCATAGCATGGCGTTGAATATCAAAGCGTAGCATGGCATAGCACGACGTGGCACTTAAGCATTTAAACACACAGCTTCAGCTGAAGGCATGGCATCGCGCAGCGGAACGCAACCTAGCATTGCATTGCATGCCGTGGCATGGCACGGGAAATGACGCCAGCGCTGCAGCGGGAGCACGATTCGGAACGAGCGGAAGCGCGGCAAGGAGGCCAGCGCTGCAGCGGGAGCACGATTCGGAACGAGCGGAAGCACGGAAATGAGGCCTGCGCGGCAGCGGGAGCACGATTCGGAACGAGCGGGGCCCGAAAATAAGGCCGGCGCCTCAGCGAGAGCAGCATTTTGAAAAAAATGCAGGCGAAAACCCAACTCCGGGGAATGCTGTGTGTTAAAAAACAGCACGCGGGGGGGCGGTCGAACATTCCCAACCCGTCATCAGGGAAAGGAGGAGAGTAGTATTCATATTGAGTAATTGTGGAGGGGGAGGAGGAGGAGGAGGAGGAGGAGGACGAGGAGAGAGGAGGAGGGAGGAGGAGGAGGAGGAGAGGAGGAGAGGAGGGAGGATGAGGAGGAGGAGAGAGTAGAGAGGAGGGTGAGAGGAGGAGGAGGAGGAGAGGAGGAGGAGGAGGGAGGAGGAGGAGGAGGAGAGGGAGGAAGAGGAGGAGGAGGAGGAGAGAGGAGGAGAGAGGAGGAGGAGGAGGAGGAGGAGGAGGAGGAGGAGAGGAGGAGAGAGGGAGGAGGGGAGGAGGAGGGAGGAGGAGGAGGAGGAGGAGGAGGAGGGAGGAGGAGGAGAGGAGGAGAGGAGAGGAGGAGGAGAGAGGAGGAGGAGGAGGAGGAGGAGGAGGAGGAGGAGGAGAGGGGAGGAGGAGAGGATGAGGAGAGGAGGAAGGAGGAGGAGGAGAGGAGGAGGGGAGGAGGAGGAGGAGGAGGAGGAGGATGGAGGAGGAGGAGGAGGAGGAGGAGGCGGAGGGAGGAGGAGGAGGAGGAGGAGAGGGGAGGAGGAGGAGGAGGAGGAGGAGGAGAGAGGAGGAGGAGGAGGAGGAAAGAGGAGAGGAGGAGGAGGAGGGGTGCGGAAGCAGCGAAATGCCAACCAAGACTGTGGAAGGGTACTGGGTTCAGCAAGTGCTGGGGGCATCGGGTGGTCCCGGACACTGACAGGGGGACACAGAGGTGGAAGGTGGAGCACGGGAGGGGGGGAAGGGGGACACAAGGAAACCACAGTAAGGACTGGGGGCAGGCAATCAAGACCCTTTGGAGTCCTGGTGCGACGCGGGTGTCGTCGCGGCCCCTGCCTAGCAACTACGTATCTCTTTGAGGAAAGGCGCCTACTTTCGAAATGCACAGCGTTGTCGTTTTGGGGGGAGGGAACAGAACAAGAATTCGTTCGGCCTCCTTCTCCTCCTTCTCCTCCTCCTCCTCCTTCCCCTGGTGAAAGACTGCGGCTATATTCGCTTAGATGGTCCTCCCCTCCTCTCCCTCCTCGCGTTCAGCTCCGCCTCGTCCTCCTCCTCCTCCTCCTCCTCCCCCTCCTCCCCCTCCCCCTCCGCCTCCTCCTCCTCCTCCGCCTCCCCCTCCCCCTCATCGACAAAGGTTCAGATCCCAACTGGACGCGTGAGATCCCAACCGGACGGTTCAGATCCCAACCGTCAAGGACGCGTGGGACGCGTGAGATCCCAACCATTTTGGAGCCTCTGAACAGCTCCAACCTCTGCAAGGTTCTGCGAGCCACTGAGAGATTCTGAGAGCTTCTGAGAGATTCTGAGAGACTCTCAAAGATTCTGAGAGATCCTGAGAGATTCTGAGAGATTCTGAGAGAATCTGAAAGATTCTGAAAGATTCTGAGAGGTTCGGAGAGATTCTGAGAGATTCTAAGAGATTCTGAAAGATTCTGACACTTTCTGAGAGATTCTGAT